CCTAGACAAACGACGTCTTTCTTGATCGTGTATCGCTTGCAGGCAGCAATCAAAAAAAGCCAACCTCGAACTAATTCTTTCCTGGACTCGATAGAGTAAAATTTTTGTGAAACGCGTTGATTTCAGCGTTGATCACAATGGCAGCGAAATGCTAGCACGTTGTCGCCAACAAATTTTCAGCTTGACAGTCATAAAGTTTCTGTCATTCTTTTCACTGATTCACTTTCCATCACTAATTTTGCGTAATCAACTTTCAGGAATTTTCTTAAAGTGACCGAGAAGAAACAATTTCATGAAGTAAAAGTGCATTGTTCATGTCAATAGAGATCGTCATAAACTCACTATGTTCACTCACATATGTCAAATGCTCACTGTACCAGTCACTGTCCAACACGTTGGAGGCTGCCTCGCCAGTGAAAGAAACGTTCAACCGGTGGTAGCCCCGGCAATTTGGCCATGTGACTGAGACTAATGCCTGTTTTCGTTTTTACGTGGTTCTGCGTCTCCGAAGAAGAACGAGAAAATGCTCGTGACTGAAGACTCCAGAGGCTTGTAGAAGCTCCGACTCGACTGACCCAGCTTTATATCGATACGCTGTCAAGTAAATATTGACGTAGCTTGGCTTTTTTTCTCGTATACTCTTGTTCGCTTGTCATTGACGTTTATTGCGAAAAATTACGTTTGCCGGCGCCAACAGGCAAACGCAATTAACCTGACTATAAACAGTTTACGTAGTGGCACTTTTTTCGTTCACGTTCATTGCACAAGAAATTCGAACACTATTAATGCAACTTTACTTCATTCGTCGTATTATCTGGTATTGTGCGAACCCACCCAATGGCGTCATTTTTTTTTCAGCGCAGCCAATGCCTTGATGCAATTTATTTTTAATCAATTTACACCTTGTGCTGAATTTAGTCAGCTATCGGGTGGGTCAAAGCGAATTGCAGCCGCAAAGCGCATGCATCAGATGGCATAAGTGGTTGTTTCACATGTTCTGACACGTGCACGTTGCAGGCTTATGCTGCCCTCGCCGTTCGCAGGTCAACGAATTGCTACTCGCTTCCTACCTGGTGTACC